TGGATTTGTTTAAAAGAAACTTTTTTTTTGGTTTTTTAAAATAAAAACCTTTTAAATGCTTTTTGTCTTTTTTCTGTTTTTTAAAACACCTTTTTTTGAAAAATTAGTTTTTACACTACCCCAAAAAGGCCCCTGAAAATTTAAAAATTAAAAACAAAAAAAGGGGTTTTTTTTTTTTCTAATAAATGTCTCCCTCGTTCCAAGGATTGAAAAAAAATTTTTCGGGTTTCATGATGTGTTGGGCCTGCCAAAAAATTTTTAATTTATTTCACTAAAAAACTAATAAAAAAAAAGGTTTTTTTTTTTTTTAAAACTTGTTTTTTTCCCTTTTTTAAACCCAAGATGGAAAAAAATTTTTTCCCTTTTTAAAATGTGGTGGGGAATAAAATGGGGGTTGGGGGAAAATCCATTGAAAAAAACTAAAAATGAAAAAAAGAAGTCTTTATAAAATGGATATAATGTCGGGATGTAGGGAGATAAAGGGGGATGTGGCGAGGAAAAATGTCCGGGGGCAGATGATTGAATGTCCCTGGATGTAGTGCAGATATATAATTCCCGGGATGTATCAGATGAATGAATGTCCGGATTATGCAGATGATATGAAAGAGATGTTTTGCTGATATTAGAATGAAAAGGATTTGGATGTCATAGCTTTAACGGTAAAAAAAGCTAAAGGGGGGTAAGTTTTTTTCAGAGGAGAAAATAAAAGGTTTAAGTCAGGGGTACTGAAATTTAGAGCAAGGAAGGGGTAGCAAAATTTGAAGGATCATTAGTGGTTTTGGTGGATTAAAATAAGGGGTCGGTGCAAAAGTGGGTCATAATATTTTTAATGTTCCGGAGAAGAAAGAGTGAAAGGGGATATTTTGGGAGATTTAAGAGAATGAAAGGGAAAACCTTTGAACCAATGAGAGAATTGGGGTAGGGACCTAATCAAATAGGAGAAACATTTAGGGAGGGTGGTAGGAAAGTTTTGGGCTATTTGTTAATCATAATGGGAGCCTTTGACTGAACTTTGATAAAAAGGGGTTTTTATAAGTTAACATTTTTTTAAGAAAAAGAGGAAAATAATATACAAGATACTATGTAGGGCATAATGCAGTATTTTTGTTGGTTTTTGTATTGGTAATAAAAGACTTTTAGTAATTTAAATTTACAGTTTTATAGAGGGGCCAAAATAACGAATTTTAGTTGTAGCTCATAAAGGGAAAAGGTAAGGATCGGGGAAAAAAAAGCAGAAATGAAAGTGAGTTAAAGTGTATAAACTAAAAAGAAATCAGTAGGGAAAGATATAAAAAACTATTGGAGGAAAAGGGGGCTATGAGAGCATGGGCAAGGGGGTCGAAGATGTATGGGGTAGGTTAAGAATGTAATTTTTGATGTTCAGCAAATTTGTGGTTCAGGAAAGGGGGTGCGGGAGGGAAGAGGACGTTTGGGGGAATGATAAGTAAAGAGAGAGTAAGGGGAAAAATTTTACATTCAAATGTTTTTACAGAGCAAAGGATCAAAGGGAAGATTTGGAGAGAAAAAGAAAGTTAAGAAGGTAAGCAATGTAAAATGAGAGCAAATAAAAGGGGGGTGAGATTTATAAACAAATTTTGTTGAAAATAATAAAAATTTAGAAGTAAATTTTAATAAGCTAGGAAGCCAGGAAACAAATGGATTTGACAGTCAAAAATGGAAGAGGAAGTTTTTTAAAAAGGAAATTAGAGGTTTGGGGGGAAAAGGAGGGAAATTTTAAAGGGAATGTTAAATATTTATGAAATAGGGGGAAACTTTATTTCGTTAAGGGAAAAGGGGAATAAAATTTGTAGGGGTGAGAAGTGAGGTTTAGGGAAGTTCATGAGGCAGTGGGAGAATGAAAGGGGGGAAAGCACGGGATTGATGGGATGAAATAGAAATTTTAAAAGCAGGGGGGGGAAATTTTGGAGTGGTTGGGGCTTTTATTTTAAAAAATTTGAAAGGGTAAGACCCAGGGGTGGCAAGAGCATTACCTGGAGACCGAGAGGGTTTCGGGGTCAACGCCCCCCGGGCCCGGTCTAAGACCCGGCCTCTGGTGGGTCGGGTCTGATCAACCAGGCTGTTTTCTGCTGCCGCACCAAGCTGACTACAACCACAGCCCGGTTTTTACAGGTACTGACTTTTGGGGCCCTGCCCCTGCCTTCTTAAGACAACCAGGGGGCTATTGGTATCCCCCCCTTTTGTATGGGGGAGGCAAATTTAACATCTGGGCCCCAAAAACCTTTTTGTTTGCCTACATTACTCTGGCGGCCCTCTTTTTATCGGGGAATGTTGCTCTCCTGCCAATCTTTTGGGTTTCAAGGGTGTTTTTTTTGGGCAGGTTTTTGGGACCAACTTTCCAACCTTCCAATTATATTATCAGTATCCTCTTGCCTCATTCCAGGAAAACAGACAAGGACGTTACGTTCGAATCTTAATTTTTAGCCCGGTTGGCACTCCCTAACAATACACTTCATAAAGGAGAAGATACTTCCAAATTGAAATTCAAGGGACAAATAAATTACTCAGTCTTTTCTTAGTTTTTTTTCATTTAAAAGCTTTAAAAACTTAGATATTCACAAATATCTATTAAATTCACTGTCAAAACTTTCCACAAAAAAAACCCTTAAATAAATTACATAAATTTAATGTTTTTCACTACACTGATAATGATCAAAAAATTCGCTTCCTCAATAGTAACATTTCTTGTTGCAATACATATTTGAAATTAACACTTTTTGGTAACTCCCGGCATAAGGGTATATCACAAAGTTCTAACTTGACCTGGCGGCACATCTAACCGAAGGGAACAGTAATAATTTCCGCAACTTCATTCACCAAACCCCAAGCTGGTTCGGAGTTTCTATAACGAATTCGCAAATTTAAGGAGAGAGGCGGGGTACTAGAGGTGTAGTCCGCACATTGGCAAGGAGGCGAATTACCGAACCTTAATGGGGGGAGGGGAAAAAGGTTAAAAAACCCTCCAAGGACAAATTTTTTTTTTTTTTTAAATTTTATACTAAATATCCAAAAAAAACCCGGAACAAACAAAATTTTTGGAACTTTTTAAACCCCTTTTAAAGGGTTTTTTAAAAAATCCATATTGAAAAAACAAAATTAAAACGCCCCCAAAAAGTTTTTAAAATTCCCAAAAAAATTTTTTTTTTGTTTAATTTGAAAAACCCTAAATTTTGCCCCGGGGGGGGCCCTTTTAAAAAAAACTCTTTAACCGGGTTTCCTCCCCCCCACCCCGAAATTTAATTTTAGTTTTTAAAAGTATTTTACATTTAAAACTTATTAAAAATTGTGTCAAAAAAAAACTTATTTAAAAAAATTTTAAAAATTTTTTCCTCGTTACTTAAAAAAAGGGGCCCAAAAATTTTGTCCCCTCCGGAAATGTGCACTAAGGGATCCTTTATCCAGGGCCAAAAAAATGCAGCAAAAAAAAATAAGGTATTTTTTCAGGTTTTTAATCCTTTTATTTCCTTTTATTTGTTTTTTCAATTTTAAAATTTTGAAAACATCCCTTACAACCCCGGTCCCTTCCTTAAACCCCAATTTTGGCCGGATGTAATTTAGAAATTTTTAAACCCTACACATTTTTAAAATTTCATTTGTTCCCATACAGAAAAAACCCCCCTTGGTATAACAAGGCCTTAAAACCTTTTTCCCCCCAGTAATTTAGGTCCCTTATCGTACTTACGTGTGCCGTGAAAGTTCTTTGTACACTCTCCAGGTCTGCAATGTCGCCAGCCTTGAAGGATGCCGTTAGTATACAGCAGTATTCCAGCCTAGAGAGCACAAGCAATTTGAAAAGAATCATCATGGGCTTGGGATCCCTAGTTCCGAAGGTTCTCATTACCCATCCTATCATTTTCCTAGCTGATGAGGTGGATGCATTGTTGTAGTCTTTGAAGGCGAGATCCTCTGACATTATCACTCCCAGGTCCTTCACATTACTTTTCCGCTCTATTGTATGGTTAGAATTTGTGGTATACCCTGACACATTTTTAATTTCTTCATGTTTTCCATATCTGAGAAGTTGAAATTTCTCCTCGTTGAACTTCACATTGTTTTGAGTGGCCCATTCGAAGATTTGGTTGATGCCCGCTTGGAGTCTCCTGGTGTCTTCGATGGAGGTCACTGCCATGGTGATCCTGGTGTCATCCGCAAAGGAAGACACAGAGCTATGGCTTACATCTCTGACTATGTCAGAAATGAGGATGAGGAATAGAGTGGGAGCAAGTACTGAGCCTTG